CTTGAGCCGGGAATCGCGAACTTCTCATCTGAAACTTGGAGTGCAAGTGCAGCTTTCCTCAGAACACTGTACGTACTGTACAGTTGACATGGAACATAGTCGTTGACTTTAGTCTGGATACGATGCCTCGCGACCGTCATCCAGGACATACAGCTTGCGCTTCTGACTGCGTCGGACGAACAGCTTTAATCAGACCCCTCTCTCGAACTTTGTGGACGGTCACTTCGGTTTGGTTTGCCCTACAGCTCTTGTTTTACGTCTTGCTCTCTAAAATTTTACGAACTTCTCTTCTCCGTTCTTATCCGCTTTTCCTTCACCTTCTCTTCTGCGATTTTAGGTTGGTGAAGGAACTGTGAAAAGCGTTGACAGCTGAACTGTAATTTCTGAAATGTCCGCTCGTGGAGATGTTTTCAAACCGATTTCTTATATTCGTGCGCGTGTTTCGGGTAGCGCGGGTTTTTACGAAAAGAGAGCCCAGTCCATAGCTGCCAGCAACAAATGCAGAGCAGCACCGCAACGAACCCATCCGTCCATTCAGGAGCCCGCTGCTCACCACCCAACCATCCACCTCAACTCGGCCCACCGCATTCTCCCTGCTCCTGTCCCCTCCCCTCCCCATTCTCACCCGCGCATGTCGCCCGCTTATTGGTCGATTTACATACACGTACATCGGAGATCCCCCTCCCTTCCCCCGTCCTTTCCCCCGACCCGATCTTCCCTTTCCTCTCCTTCCATCCCACCCATCCCATCCTTCCTCCTCACACCTCTGGTTTGCAAACTGCATTCACTATGGTCTGTCTTCTTGGCCCAGTTCAACGACTCAAGCATGTGCCTTTCATTTCCTCCCACACTCATCAAGAATCATATTCTACAGCACCATTGCATTTTTCTTGTCCTCACTTTGGGCGGCTCGGGTCGGAAGCTTCTTACTTCCCGCGATTTGCACCCTTCCTGAAGCATGCTCAACAATACCTCAGGCCTACCGCATTAAAAGACCGCCCAATCCGAGTTCAAGGTTCAGTCCTCCTGTCCTTCCTTTGTCTGCTACTGTACAGATAAGATCGCCTTGACAGAGATGCCGCCTCATGGGGTTCTTTCCATGAGAGAGGCTCGCTGTAAAATCCCGATGACGGATGCAGGAATCCGTGAAAGACTTACTGCATTCCCATGTCAGATTTTGGCCGGTTATCTGGCAAAACTCGGGCGGTTTCTGCAGCCTGAAGTAGTTAGTCGACAAGACAAAGCGCGATTGAAAAAGCTGCACGTGAGGCATTGTCGCGTACGCGTTGTAGCGCGTTAGTGCACGGTATACAGCTAATTACAAGCGCGTTTGTCGCTCGCGCCGCCGCACACTGCCAGCGTGACATTTCCGAATTGATTCTGATGGTGCAGCAAGTCCGGATCTGAAGGCCGGTTCTCCCCCCAGCCAGACTCGCCGCCGCATCTACCACCGTACGATCGTTGTGTTGACGCTTACCGCGACGCGACGGAACAAAACAACCTGCTGCAGGAGCATCGGCATTGGCCGCGCTATTATCCGAAGGGCCAGCAGTTTGATTCTTCCGCTGCTCCTCTCGCTCCTCCCGATTTACTTTCTCGTTTCGCTGCTCCCCTGCTACTCTCGCGACTTCTTTCGCTGCTGCTTCATCCGAAAAGCTACCGTGAGAATGGAGGAAAGAACAAGAGATTTCGCGCAAATGCCGGAACAGCTTGAAGCAGGGAATCAAACGCTGCACTCGTGGCAGTCGGGGCAGTCGCAGCCGCTCTCCCGAGCGCGAAACGCGGCAGGGTCGGAGCCATCGTCGCCCCACCCTGCTCCCGTCGCTGCCTTATCCGGCTTGGAGCGCATCGTCACGCGGTTCCCGTCGCTGCCACGAGGCGACACGGCCGCAGCGCCGCCTCCGCCGCCGCCGCCGCCGCCGTCGTATCACGGAGAGTTCCCGGCCTCGGCAATGGACGACGAGTCGCACCGCATGATGGTGCAAACGATGATGGCTTTTGAGACGTCTCAGAGGCAAGTAATGATGACAATGGCAGCATTTGACGACGCCGTGGCAGCGGCTTTCTCAAAATCATCTCTTCAACAAGATTTCTATGGCGGCGCTTCCAGCGCAGATGGCGGCGCTTCCGGCGCAGGCGGCGGCTCTTTGCGATTCGAGTCGCGAACTGCTGCGGCGGCGACTGCTGCTGCTCCACGCGTGCCGCCGCTGAACGGCGAAAGAGAAGATCTTGGCGACATTTCGCAGTGGTTACAGACGGTCATGATGGGAGAGTCGCACGGAGTCGCAGGGGGGTTCGCTCCAGGGGGGTTCACAGCCGGTGCTAGTACAGCTGGTGCAGTAGCCGGTGCTACAGCCGATGCGGCAGTGGGTGCTACAGCCGGTGCTACAGCTGGCGCCACAGCCGAATGTTACAGAGGCAGTTCTGGCATGGAGAGAATGCAGATGATGGCGTCTTTTATGGCTGCAAACTCGGAGGAGGATGGGGAGGAGGAGGGGGAGGGGGAGGGAGAAGAACGGGCGGGTGAGGATGAGGAAAACCAGGGGAGGGAAGGGGAGGAGGGAACAGACGACGTGATGATGAAGCAGGGAGATGGAGAGGGAAGGGGGGGTGTGAAGGAGGGGAGAGAGAATGGACGAGCGGCGGCATGGATGGCGGTTGATGGTCCCAATGCTGCTGGCACTCCTGCTGCTGCTGCTTTTGCTGCTGCCGCATCTGCTTCTGTTGATGGCGCTGCAGCTGCTGCTGCTGCTGCTGCTGGTGCTGCTGCTGGCACTCCTGCTTTTGTTGCAGGGGGCTTTGTGTTTGGGGAGAGAGGGGGCATGCAAGCAGCCGATGGTGGTGCTGGTAGTGGTGATGCCGACAGTGCTGGTGGTGCTGCTGCTGATGGTGCTGCTGCTGGTGGTGCTGCTGGTGCTGGCAGTGATGGTGATGGTGGTGGCGGTGGTGGTGGTGGTCTCACTAACAGTGCTGGTGCCGGCAGTGGTGGCCGGCACAGGCAAGGGCAGCAGGCAAACATCAAGCCGAGGTCGATGCGAGAGCGGCGCAGGAGAGAAAGAATAAGGTAAGCCAATAAGCTGTCCCGTTGTAGCTGTGCCAGACTCTGCCTTGGTTGCCCCACGTACAAATGGCATCAGCACATGATGCCTTACCGACGCTATTTTGCATGCTCTCTGCCCGCTAACCCTCCTCTACCTCACTTTCTGCTGTCTTGGAAGGAAGCAAAGTCGTAAAGTTTCGATGCATTCTGCATGCACGTGCCTGATAGCGATCCTTCTGCCCCATTCTTCTCTATCGTCTCCGCTTCCTCTTTGCTGCATGTTCCCTTGTTTCAACGTTTCTCGTGGCAGTGAGTCACTGAAGCGGTTGAGAATGACTGTGCCTTTGGACCTGCTGGGTCCGCACCAAGACCTGGGATCCATGATAGAAGGAGCCGTCAACTACATTCAAGTCATGCAGGTATGCTCTTTGTTAGCCACTAAGCTTCCTTGTCGTATAGGAATGCTACCTGTGAAGCTTCTTGCTGGACATGCGGGTCCCTTGGCAGTTGAATGCAAGACCTGGGATAGTAGGAGCCGTCAACTGCATTCAAGTCGTGCAACAGGGCAATGCTCAGCAGGTAGATTGAGAGTGGTAAATTGGCAGTGGTCGATTGGCATTGGAGCATACGGCAGTCAACGTCTCTGGTGTTTCGTATTCTTGCTCGGGTGTGTGCACACTTGTCTTTGTCCCCGCAGATGCGACTGTCAGAGCTGCAGCAGCGAGTGCTGGAGGGGGAGATCAGAGCACGGCTCAATAGGCAGGTAGATCAGCGGCGACCCATATGTGTGTGTTCGAACATTTCTGACATTTCTTTTACTCGCTCTCTGTGTGCGCCCCTGTCTTTGTCTTCGCAGATGCGACTGTCAGAGCTGCAGCAGCGAGTGCTGGAGGGGGAGATCAGAGCACGCCTCAACAGGTAGATTTTGCCAATGGCGGCTCTGGCGCACCATACAGTTGGTCAACGTGTGTGTTCTAGCCTCTCTGGTGTATCTTGGTCCTACTCTGTGTGCCCTCCTCTCTTTCTCCGTCAACCCAGATGAGACTGTCGGAGCTGCAGCAGCGAGTGCTGGAGGGGGGAATCAGAGCAAGGCTTAACAGGTAGATGGGCAGTGGCCTGTACGACCGGATAGTATGGCCAGCTTGTGTAATAGTATCAGATTGCTCATACTGTAAGAGCAACTGTTTTATAGTTAATTATAGAGGGGCAGAGAAAAAGCTGTACTAGAAGCTTTTCGGTGCTCTTTGTTAGCTACGTGTGGTGTGTTGCAAGAAAGATCGTTCTGTCGTGAGTCCATGCAAGTGGTACTGTGCAACAGTAGTACGGTAGCCTAAGAAATCACAAGAAGCACTATCAGGGGGGAATTGGTCATGGAGTCAATGGTGCATGACGAAATCCCCCTTGGGATCGGAGCGAAAACATCACATAACAACTACCGGTAACAGAAATTCTACGTAAATGCTGGAGCCATCAGTCTAAGTAGCCATGAGGCATGATGATGTGATGATGATCATTAAAGCATGATCAATTGATATCCGGCTTGCAGGCTTGTACCGTATCCCGCAATGTACCGTAGGGTGTAAAGGTGTAAAGGTGGGAGGGGAGCTGGGGAGCAGCAGCAGTAGCACAGGCATTGAAGCTGGGCTCGGGCTCTGGTACCGTACCATGCTGACACTGCCCTGAGCCGCATATCACCACTCCCAACCTTCTCCAATCTAGCTGCAGGCATTGAAGCTAGGTTCCGCATACTGGTACCACACCCCGAGCTTATTATTCGCTACGATCTTCCCCACCCCGCAATCGTCAGGGTCGTGGAACATAATACACTTTCCGCCGCACTCCCCGTTGGCAGCGCTGTTGGCAACGTAGGCCCAGAGGTTGCAGTAGTCTGCCTGCTGGACTTGTGTTGCAAGGCACTGCTGCTGGCACTGCTTGTAGGAGGGCAGCCGCACCATTCCTGTTATGTGCTGCAGGTTGTCTCGTAGACCAGGCACCTGCGGGGAGGGGGAAGAGGAGGCAAGGGGCAGGAGGATCAGGGCAGGAGAGAGGAGGGCTTATTGACTTATGACAGGAACAGGAGGGGAAGGAAGAGGCGCTGTTGGCAATGTAGGCCCAGAGGTTGCAGTAGTCTGCTTGCTGCACTTGTGTGGCAAGGCACTGCTGCTGGCCCTGCTTGTAGGAGGGCAGCCGCACCATTCCTGTTATGTGCTGCAGGTTGTCACGTAGACCAGGCACCTGTTTGGGGGGAGGGGGAGAGGAGGAGAGAGAGGACGAGGGTTGTTAAGGCGAGACACTGCTGCTGGCACTGCTTGTAGGAGGGGAGCCGCACCATGCCTGTTATGTGCTGCAGGTTGTCCCGTAGACCAGGCACCTGTTTAGGGGGAGGGGGAGAGGAGGAGAGAGAGGACGAGGGTTGTTAAGGCGAGGCACTGCTGCTGGCCCTGCTTGTAGGAGGGGAGGCGCAGCATTCCTGTTATGTGCTGCAGGTTGTCACGTAGACCAGGCACCTGCGGGGAAACGAAGGGAGAGGATAGAAGGGTAGGAACCTGCGGGGATAAAGAGGGTCGTATGACGCTCAGGCTGCTGGCACTGCTTGTATGATGGCTGGCAGAAGCACCAGTCCTGTTATGTGCTGCAGGTTGTCGCGCAGACCAGGCACATGGGGAACACAAGGGAGTGGGATTGGCTAATGAGTGAGTGGCATGGATTACATTCGCAGGTGCCGGCGTGCAAAGATGAAGTCAGAAGTTACCCAGCGACATAGCACCAGAGGTAGATGTTACCTTGTCGAGGGCCGCGCACGGAGCACACTGGTTCTTCCTCCTCGTCGCCACGAACCCCGGCGAACACGCCCTGCAGCTGCTCAACCGCGTGTAACCCGTCACGCACGTCGCACACGCCGTTTCGTTGTCCCACCGTCGCACACACTGGCAGCTTGGGGTGAAATCCGCGTTATAAACACAAGTCCCGTGCCCGTTACAGTCGTTAGCGCACCCCGTGCAGCCCTTGCAGTTGGCTCGGATCTTCAGCCCCGGAGCGCGATCCACATTCGCAGGCGCGGACATGCTGCAGAAGCTCACCGAGCCTGTTCCCGAGCCTGCCGCGAGCTGCCGAACCGCAATGTCGCCGGCTTGGGAGCGCATGTTGTTGTGGTTACTAGCAAAGGAGGTGGAGCAGAGGGAGAGTGTGGTATCTCGAGAGGAGACTAGGATGGCCCCTCCCCCGCTGTCGGCGCCGTTGTTTCGGCCTGTGGGCGGCTGAACCGCGACGTTCCTAAAGAAAGTGGATTTGACTATAGTGATGCTCTTGGCCGTCGTTGCTATGGCGCCGCCGCCCACCACTGCATGTGACAGCAGACAAGGTGACAGTAGAGGGGGAAGAAGGATGGATTTGACTATAGTGAGGCTCTTGGCCGTCGTTGCTATGGCGCCGCCGCCCACCACTGATGGCAGGTAAGAAGGGCAAAAGGGGAAAAAAGAGGGAAATGTGGAAAAGGGTACACGGGAGCAAAGGGGAGAGAGAGGGAAAGGGGGAATATAAAGGAAAGAGGAGGAGATTATGGTTCGATGCGGGGCCACAGGACAGGCGGCAGGGCAGGGGGCAAGAAAAGGGCAGGTAAGGAAGCAGGAAAGGCGGCAAGAACTTTGCGAAGATCGCAATATTCCCTTATCAACTCGTCCCTATCCCTGTTCGCCTGTCTGAACACGAGCCATGTCAACAGCAACACTCACGAGCATAGTTCTTCTCGAATTTGACGGAATTCATGTAAAATACATTATCCTCGCTATAGATCGCCCCGCCCTTGCCCTTCTCCGCGCGGTTCCCGCGGAACGTGCACCCCGCCAGCTGCACGCGCGGGCCGCCCACGGGCTCCTGCCCCACGTTGATCGCGCCGCCGTTGCCGCTCTCCGCGGTGTTGTTGATGAACTCGCAGAAGGTGAAGAGCAGCGCGCCGGACGTGGGGGAGGCGGCGCGGGAACTGCAGAGAGAGGCGGAAGGGCAAGCGCAAACGGGGAAGGGAGAGGTGAGAGAGGGGTAAAAGCTAAGACTTGCTGGGTGCAAAGAGGTTTCTTGCGGCGGCGGTGCTGTTCACGAACTCGCAGAAGATAAAGAGCAGCTCCCAGCCTCCAGCCCCTAGGGCCCACTGCTACTAGTTCCCTTCCCGCCTTCCCGCCACTAGCTGGGTACTCACTTGACCACGGCGCCACCGCCGGTAGTGCGCGCGACGTTGTTGATGAACGTGACTCGGCGCGCCGTGACGGCGCACCCGCCGGTGTGCACGCCGTTGACGGCGTTGCGCACGGTGACCTGCTCCAATGAGATGAAGCAGTTGAAGCCGCCGGAAAACACGGCGTACTTGTGCCGCCCGTCGATCACGCATTTGGCGGAACCCGCGCAGCTGCCCTTGACCGCCACTCCCGCGTTGAATCCGAGAGAAGGTAGCGGCCTGCGCGGATGGGGCAAGGGCGAGATGGGGAAAACAATAAGAAACGGCACGGCTAGTCTTGAGCTGGTACCCTGCAGTGCATGGTGATTCGGTGGAATCCAGGCAAGCGGCGGCGTACTTAGTTAATAAGACGTCGGACGTGAGGTGGACGGTGATGGTCTTGCGCTGCGAGTTTGCCGTCTCAATCGCGTCGCGAAGCATGTCCTCCGCGTTCCGCCCGCTCGCCGCCATCGTCCCTGCCGACAGCTCCTCGAAGCTTCGCAGAAGCTGCCTGTCGCTTTCCTCGCGGCGCCTGGACACGTCGCGATGCGGACCGCGGACTAGAGAAGCGACGGGAACTGCGTCAGAATCGGCGGCGGAGATTGCGGGGAAGAGAGCGACGCAAATCACGAGGACGAGGACGTGGAGAGGAATGCGATTAGAGCGGACTGGCTTGACGCGCTTCGCCGAAGAGCAGGAGGAGGAGGCAGAGGCGGCGGAGGAGGAGGAAGAGGAGGAGGTAGGAGCCGATTCAGTGTTTTTTCCCCCGCAAGTGAAGGAGTTTGAAGAGGAAGTGGAGGTTTGGAAGGCACGTACGCGAGAGAGTGAGGAGATTAAGACATCAACTCTGAGTAGCGATGCCATGGCCTGTATCGACAAGCGCAACGTGCTATAACGGGTGAAGATGATAACGTGGCAGAGCGAAATTGGTGCGGGAATCAGGGAGAGAATGCTCTTTGCGGAAGGTGCGGATACTAGGCCCACTTGGCGTTACTGCAGTGGCGGTTGGCGAGGATAGCAACCTATTGCTCAACGAGTAATGTGCTTTCGATAGGTCTTTACTTTTGAGCTACTCAAGTGAACGGCAGTATCTATAAGAATGTCTTCCTAAAACTCGAGGGGCTGAAGGCCTAGAGACGCCAGGTGGGTGGATGGGGAGTTTGGCGTGCTACACGACGATCCGTCGGTGGTTTGGACGGAGATCTTGAGCAAGAGGAGACTTAAGTCCGCTTTGGATACTTCGACGGCGGTCTGCAGACGAAATGGCGAGCAGAACGGTGCGCCGCCAAAGCTAGTGCGGAGAGAGTTCGACGAAACAGCGATCTTATTCGAATAACAACGGATACACAACGGGTGGAGAATAAGGAGAACCTTGGAAATTCCGTCTTAGGAAAGAAGAGCCCAAGCTGAGTAGACCTGAACCAACCTAGTATGACGAAGCAAAAGCAACAGGCATGAAATTGGGGAAAGAGACAGGAGTTTGCTGTGTGTGCGTCTCCGCATTCCGTTTGAAAAAGGGGCGCAATGTCGGCTTGGTTTTCTGCTCGCGCCTTGGCTGGCGGAATTCGAATTTCCCACAGAAATTTGAGAAATTTGTACGACCTCCGCGTCGCATTTCTGAGATCGTTGGGAAAATGAACGAAGTTACGCGGTCCGCAGGGGAATTTTTATTGTTGCGGGATGGCTGCACTGCACTTCTTTCCATATCTCCAGAGTTATCTAAGATCCTGTCTTCAATCATTCCAACATGTCGAGTCAATGGATAAATGAATTTTATGGTTTAGTTTCACAAGAAACCAGCCCTATTATACACTATCCCCCTCAATACGTAGAAATACAAATCACTCAAGAAGAACACGAGAGCATGCAAACCCCAGGCTTGAGTGCCCACTCAGGAGGGGGCTGGGCAAATTCCTCAGCCCCTGCTTGCTCCTTATAAGGATTCTGCAACACTTCCTGTAACCGCTGTGTAACGCTGAAATCTCCATGTTCAGCTGCCTCGATCGCCAGCTGGCATTGGTAGTTGCGGAGGATGTAAGCTGGGTTGACTGCATCCATAGCTGCTCGCCGGGCAGCATCTGAAACCTTTTCAGCCCGTAGCTGAAAGCAGGGACAACAAGGGGACGACGAAAATACATTTCACAAGGTGCACACGAAATGAGGAGCAAAAACAGTATCGAAGTGCAGGGCGAGTGTCAACCTAGACACAAGCGGGGTATGGGTGAGAGAAAGAGTGTTAAGGAAAGCATCGACAGGGAAATACCGAAAGTTGCAACTGCAAGAGACAGACGGGGTAGCTGACTCAAAAATCATCTCATTGCAACACACGATGACAGGCCATTGCACCCACCTTAGCAGTATAAAGCCGGAGCCAGTCCACCCATTCCTTCTCTTTCTCCCCCTCCTTCCCTGCCCCTTCCTGCAACCCCAGCGCCCCCCTCATTGGCGCTAGCAGGTCAGCGTTTGAAGCTTCTGCAAAGGGGAAGGGTAAGGGGAAGGAGAGGGGGAAGCAGAACGACAGGGAGTTAGGCGAAGGCCCCGAAGTTGCTGATACGATTTTGCAATCCCTAAGAGCCTCTTTTTGTTTTGGGCCGTCTCAAAACTAGGTGTTAATCAGACTTTGGTGCTGTCAAAAGTCACCTTGGTGCTGGCAAAAACCATGGGGAGGGTGGAGCGGAAACTGCAGGTGTTAGCACACCATGTCTGCACAGCACATCATGTCTGCACAGCACATCATGTCTGCACAGCACATCATGTCTGCACAGCACATCATGTCTGCACAGCACATCATGTCTGCACAGCACATCATGTCTGCACAGCACATCATGTCTGCACAGCACATCATGTCTGCACAGCACAGCAAGTCTGCACAGCATGGCTATTCACAGCACCGTATCAGAACCATGGTGTGCAAACACCTGCAGTACCCACTCTACCCACAATGCCCTGCACTTCTCGCTCCACCCCCACAGCCCACATTACCACCACTAACCGCACTGCCCCACACTAACCCCACTACCCGTACTCCCAACAACAGCTCCGCTAGAAGACCCATCCCTTTCAGCGGGCATGCGGGCGAGGAGGGAAGGCCCTCAACACAAGTTTCTACACACTCGTGAGTGGAAAGCAACACAGCACCTACCTCGTTTATTGAAAAAACTTAAAAAACGTACTCGTGAGTGGAAAGCAACACAGCACCTACCTCGTTTATTGAAAAATCTAAAAAAACGTACTCGTGAGTGGAAAGCAACACAGCACCTACCTCGTTTATTGAAAAAATTATAAATACATACTCGTGAGTGGATAGCAACACAGCACCTACCTCGTTTATTGAAAAATCTAAAAAAACGTACTCGTGAGTGGATAGCAACACAGCACCTACCTCGTTTATTGAAAAATCTAAAAAAACGTACTCGTGAGTGGAAAGCAACACAGCACCTACCTCGTTTATTGAAAAAATTATAAATACATACTCGTGAGTGGATAGCAACACAGCACCTACCTCGTTTATTGAAAAATCTAAAAAAACGTACTCGTGAGTGGATAGCAACACAGCACCTACCTCGTTCAGCGGGCACGCGGGCGAGATTGCGGAAGGTGTTGGTGAAATCAGCCCCATGCTTGGCCATGAGCTGCAGCAATGATTGAGTGAGGTCCTTGTCGTATGCGGGCAGACCCAGCTTGGCTGCCATGCGCTGCTGGTAGGCTGAGAGGAAGGACTCGGCATATCTGGGTTGGGAGGTGGGAGTACGGAAGGGGTGCAAGCAGCGACTGGGTGAGGTCCTTGTCGTATTCGGGCAGACCCAGCTTGGCTGCCATGCACTGCTGGTAGGCAGGCAGGGAGGCCTCCGCGTACCTGTGATGGGAGATGAAGGAAGTAGTCCGGTTAGGCTGAGAAATGTGCGCCACGTCACCCATCTGCCCCACTTTTTAAAATTGTCTTTGCTTGCTTGATTTTTAGTGTGTGTGAGTGTTTATTTTTTTGGGGGGGACTGAACCACCTAGCAAGCACAAAACCCAAGTCACCTCAGAATCCAACCAAGCCCGACCAACCGGCAATGCCAACCCTAAACCCCGGGCTACCCAAAAAGCCAAGCCTCCCCTTCCCACCCACCTCGACACCCCGTGCTGTGCCTCGGCCACTCCGATGATGCCACCTGTCACGAGCGTATTGGCCAGCTGCACCACGTTCCACAGCCCAATGTCCGGCTGCTGCCGGAAACAATATCTCCTCCCAGGCATGTCAGACGTGTTGGGGGTGAAATCCGGGTCAAAGGAGTCGAGGAATCCGAGGAATCCTAAAGGCCCTAGCGGATGCTGATGAGGCCTCCTAGAGTACGCCCCAGAGCTGAGTTGAGACACGTCTGGTAATCCCAAATACACACCTGGACACCCCGTGCTGTGCCTCGGCCACTCCGATGATGCCACCTGTCACAAGTGTATTGGCCAGCTGCACCACGTTCCACAGCCCAATATCAGGCTGCTGCCGGAAGCAGTATCTCCTCCCAGGCATGTCCGACGTGTTGGGGGTGAAATCAGGGTCGAAGGAGTCGAGGAACCCGAAGGGTCCGTAGTCGATTGTGAGGCCGAGAATGCTCATGTTGTCCGTGTTGAGCACGCCGTGTGTGAACCCCACTGCTTGCCACCCCGCCACCAGCTCTCCTGTTCGCTTTGCTACCTCAGCAAACCATGCTGGGGAGCCAGAGGGGAAAGGGGCAGGGGAGGGGGAACGGGAGGGGAAGGGAAGGGGGAAGGGAAGGGGTGTTGGGGGGGGAATCGCAGTCAAAAGAGTCGAGGAAGCCAAAAGGGCCGTAGTCGATTGTGAGGCCGAGCACACTCATGTTGTTCCCAAGTGAACGGAAGCGCAGGTGAACGGAAGCGCAGGTGAACGGAAGCGCAAGTGAACGGAAGCGCAAGTGAACGGAAGCGCAAGTGAATGGAAGCGCAAGTGAATGGAAGCGCAAGTGAATGGAAGCGCAAGTGAACGGAAGCGCAAGTGAACGGAAGCGCAAGTGAACGGAAGCGCCAACCACATACCTGCATACTTGTTTGTCGTCACATCCACAGCATCGGGATCCCCAACCTCCTCGTCCTCCTCCGGGCCTGGCTCCCGGACCTGCACTGGAGGCTCGGGGAGGTCGGCCAGGTGCGGGAAGTGGTGCAGAATGGTGTAGTCCGCCAGCACCCGAACCATCTCCTTGTCCAAACCTCCCCGGGAGGCATGGAGCTGGAACGAGCCGAACCTGTTCGGAACAGAATGAGAATTAGATGGGCGCGAGATCACATAAAAAACGTGCTTCAAATATTGAGAAATTTCACCAACCTCTTTTTTTCCAATAACAGCCCTGATGCTCTATCACAACCGTCAAGTAAACAGTCTGGTATACGCGTATCTTAAGCAAACAAAAAGCAACCTCATGCAAAAACGGCACCTCATGTAAATACTGCTCGAGTAGATAGGAGGACTGACCTGATGAAGGAAGGCGCCACGCGGCACACAGCAGCTCCGGGCTCGAACTTGGCGTTGCCACTGGGTTGGATGGAGGGATGGGGTAATGGGGTGATGGGAGGGGATGGGGGAAAGGGAATGCGCAAAACGGATGGGATGATGAGGATATGGGGCTGGCCTGATGAAGGAGGGTGCCACGCTGCACACAGCAGCTCCTGGCTCGAACTTGGCGTTGCCACTGGCGTTCAGAGGGGTATGGGGGGATGGTGGAACGGGGGGATGGGGGAACGGGGGGATGGGGGAATGGGGGGATGGGGGAACGGGGGGATGGGGGAATGGGGGGATGGGGGAATGGGGGGATGGGGATGCGATGCGACAATGAGAATGGAGAGGCCTGATGGGGAATGGGGTGCCACGCGGCACACAGCAGCTCCTGGTTCAAACTTGGTGCTGTAACTGATGGGGATGGAGGGATGGGGGGATGGGAATGGAAATCGGGTGACTACGAAGTCAACACGGATGATCGCACTCACTCATCAAGAATAGGTGACACTGAAATAAACACACACAGTCACACCCACACTCACTTGTAGAACATGTCTCGCAGCACCTTCTCCCCAGTGGTGACAACAGAGAGCGCCCTCGTTGTAGGCACACCCAGGGCGGCCATGGCCTCGCTACAGAGGTACTCTCTAATGGAACTGCGCAGCACAGCGCGCCCATCCGCGTGCCTACTGTACGGCGTCTTCCCCACCCCCTTCAGCTGCAACTCCCACCGCTCCCTCCACCCCTTCCCCTGCGCGCCCTCCCCCTGCGCGCCTTCCCCCCCCAGCACCACTTCCCCTAGTGTGATGGCGCGCCCATCCCCCAGCTGCCCCGCCCATGACCCAAACTGGTGCCCCCCGTAGCACTGCGCGTAGGGCTTGCTGCCGGGGGAAGGAAAAGGGGGAGAGGGGGGGGGGGAAATGGGGTGAGTGATGGCGCGGTCATCCCCCAGTTGTCGCGCCCATGACCCAAACTGGTGTCCCCCGTAGCACTGCGCGTAGGGCTTGCTGCAAGGCGTGAAGGGAAGAAACAGGGGAAGAACGGGAGCGGGCAGGGGGAGTGCGCGGTAAAGGAGGGGCAGAGGGCAGTGGAGAGGGGAGGCGGGTATGTGTGGGGCCCCTCGTAGCACTGCGCGTGAGGCTTGCAGAAGAATGTGAGGAGAGATGAGGAGAGACGGAGGGGTGTTAGTGGGGAACGAGGCGCATTTCTACTGCACATTCCTCAGCCCTAGAATAGTTCCGGAATTGGCCTCAGCCCTAGAGGACCGGTTTCAGCACGCACCAGGCCTGAAGCACTAGACAAACTGAATGAAAAAGAAGGTTCCTTGACTCTCACCACTCACCAGCCCTGAAGCACAATGCCCCCCGTGAAGACCGCCGCAAACTCAGGACGCGTGAACCTGTGGCGGAGGAAAGCGGAATGGAAGGAAATATAAAATATAAGTGCCAACACAATATGAAAGGTTGCATATTTCTTTAGGGCTAGGAATTTCATAGCTAGTGGACTCCAAGGCTAGAACTATTCAGGTAATTTCACAGACGAGCACACTCGTTCGGGTCGAGACCAATAAAGTGAGCCACCAACTCCGACGCGGTAACACGGCTGAATTCACGTTGAGCAAAAGCAGAAAGCTAATTCGCGAAAGGAGAACTTATAAATCAACTCACTCATTCGGATCGAGGCCAATGAGGTGAGCCACAGACTCCGAAGCGGCGACGACCTGCGGGTCCTTGAGCTTTAGCGAAGGTCGCACTCGCGAGTAGCACGCGTTGCGAACCTGTGGTGCGCGAAGGAGGGACAGAGCAACGCCATGCATGTAATTACACACGAGCAGCGAAAGACCGTGATGAAGGTTCAGTTTTAGGTATCAAATAAACAAATTTCAGTCGATAGAAATACCCAATTACAAACAAAACAAGCCGCCAAGAAGAAAAGAAGAAAAAGAAAAGGAAGAAGAAGAAGAAAAGAAGTGCCCAACTACTACTAGCACAAAGAATCTCCCTGCATTTAGTACGTACTATTCGAACGTGGTTTTCTTCGACTGGATCCCCAGGAAGCTTGTCAACAAACGTGCTCTCCCACTCAAGTTCCTCCAATCGCCGCACTCCCACGTTTCCTCTCCCCGCCACGGCTGCTACCCCGGTTTTCGCGCCGGAAATTGCGGCGCCAGCTGGAACCTCCTTCACTTGCGAGGAAGCTGCGGCGCCGCCATCTCCTGCAGCCGCCGCCGACGCGACAGTGATTGGCCTCGCGGGTTGTTGCTTATCGGCCGAGTGGCCGCCAAATCCACCGTCGATCCCGGCGACCATCGCGGCGGGATGGGGAAATAGGCTGGATCGGTAAAGTCGGGTTCTAGCAACGCGCGTGGAGATCAATCCCGAGGGAATCAGGCGATCGCTAAGCGAACCAAGAGACTGTCTGGGCGAAAGCGTAGGCGACACACGTGCGACGGCGGAGAGCTTGGATAGGGAGGAGGCCCCAGTGGAAAGGGCTCCCATGCCGGCTATCTACGCGACGTCTGACGTTCTGCAAAGCGCGCTAGGAACTGAGACGAATTCTACGCTCAGAAAGGAGAGGATTCTAGTTGCAAACCAACACAGCACGCTTGCGTGCGTCGCCCGTTACACGCTTCGATCCCCGAAAGCTAACAGGTGGAAGAATAGGCAGAGGAGAACAGGGAAGTGGAAAAACTGTATTGTAACATAGTGAATAGATTAGTAGAATTTGCTCCTTGTGGAAATTTTGGAGCGGGGGGGAGGTGAGGTGTTAGTGGAGTGGAGTGGAGGTGCATGGGGGGAGTGCTGACGGAGGGTTGATGACGATGGGTTGGAGGAAATGACAAAGCGCCCTGTTTCCAAGTTTCCTATTCCTTTCGGCAGTGGTTTTGACACCACCTCGGTTCGCGCTCGCGTCCGATACCTTCGGGCCGATAATTTCGCTAATTCCCTTTTCGAGTCCTACCAATCATAGTATATTCTGTTTGTAGGGATATTCCAAATGAGGCGTCGCTTATTAACTAACAGCGCGGAACAACAAAATATATAATCCCCTATTGGATGGCATGCCATTCGGGAGGCATCAACCCTAAACACCATGAGGCAAGGTGTTTAGGGTTGATGCCTCCCTAATGGCCAGCCATCCGAGTGGGTTTTTTTTTTAACACAGGCTACTAAACTGAAACCAGGTAGTCTTCATAAAATCCCTGGTCACAGGAAATTGGAAATGTCAGAAAAACTGTCCCAAGGAATCGGACGCGAGCGCGAAGCGGGGTGGTGTCAAAACCACTGCCGAAAGGAATTGGAAACCAGAAAACAGGACGCTCCGTCATTTCCTCGATGGGTTGATGATGGATCGAGTCGCCATGGTGTCCCTTGGGAGCTTCGCCACAGCTGGGAGTTTCTTAGGTAATCACATTGCGTAAAATGGAATTTTTGGTGGTCGAGTAAGATGTTTCAAAATAGCCAAGCAATTCTCTCTCGTCTGAATTCTCCAGTTGTTTTCACCCAAATTAGAAAAAATTGTTGGTATTCAAGGCATGTTAGTGTACAGAAACAAGGATGTTGTTTGTTGAACAGCAGACCGTGGTTCAGAAGCATTGTTGGACAAATCTTCCTGCAGGTCAGGAAATGAATGGCTGAGAGACACGTGGCCCAGAACCAGAATTCAGGAATGTGGACACCGCTTTTACTGTACCAGTGAACATGCAGCAGAACCCGTTTTCAAAAAAATTTGCAGTACAGTACAATATTCGACAACTCTCAAAACGAGGTATACATAGCGGGTACAAAGCAAGTCCCCACCCTGACTGCAACAAGTTCCCAAGACTAAAATTCTCATCATTTTTAGCGCGCGTTTCCATCCCAGCAGCAGCCGTAGTTCACGGCTTTAGATCATAGCCAATTAGAACCCCTGCCGCCACCATGGGCCCTTGCACAGGTATTCCCGTTACTTATCATGCCCGATGTAGCGCCTTCCTTAACTATTAACTGTAATCAAACTCCGATATGAAAATTGTTTGCAAACCGAGACTAGACCTTCTCAGTCCGCACTTGCCTCTGATCCGCTTCTCTCATCAACTCATTGCCACCTGTCGTCTCACCCATTGCAGTTCTTTCTCCCTCCTCCGCCTGCTCTCTTCGTTTCGTGTGCTCTTGTGCTTTTCCAATCCCCACCCACTTGCAATCAGCATTGACGACATCACTTTCACCCGCTTCAGCCGCATTAGCACCGTCGATGACGTCGACTGCGTCTTCAGCAGCCGCTAGATCATGCATGTTCGTTCGAAGCCGGTCAGAAACGGTGCACTGGAGAGCATTATTGACACCATTACCATCATTCCGTGCAAAGCTGCCTGTAACAACATGTGTTCCACGGATAGTAATCGTTTCTGCTAAAGTTTCAAGATCTTGGGCTTCTCGGGTACGGTCACTCTTCTGCTCTGCCATTCTCCCTTCTTCCTGCATCTCCACTCCCCCTGCTTCTCCCTTCTTCCTGCATCTCCACTCCCCCTGTTTCTCCCTTCTTCCCGCATTCTCTTTCCCGCTGATAACCCCTCCTCATATTTCCCTTCCTCTTCCTCCATTACCTTCATTTTTCACTAAGAACCTTCCTGCCCTCTGTCTCCCCCTCTCTTGATTGCTCTCTCTCTCTCTCTTTCTTGATCTCCTAAGATGTCAAACTTAACGTAGTCCCCTAAGTTGTCCCCCTTCTAGAGTTTCCAGGCATTTTCCTGCATTTGTACCATGTTCTGGTGTTTCGATCCATATCCTCCTTAGCACATTCTCCCAGTTGATTGTTCGAAACCAACTTCCATTTACCCGTGCCCTTCCCTCCACGTGGTCCCCCTTGTCCCCCTGGTCCCTCCCCCTGGTTCCTCTGGTCCTTCCCCCTGGTTCTCCCCCCCTGGCCCCTCCCCCTGGTCCCTCCCCCTTGCCCCCCTGGTCATTCCCCCTGGTCCCCCTGGTCCCTCCCCCTTGCCCCCCTGGTCATTCCCCCCTGGTCCCCCTGGTCCCTCCCCCTGGTCCCCCTGGTCCCCATCTGCCAGCTAAATGCAGGCCGCTCAGTACACTACGAAACAGCCAACACTTACGTTTTTATAGCTCCTGGCGAAGAGGAAGTGTTTGTATCACGCGAGGAAGTGCTACAGTGCCTTTTGAATGAGCTTCAAAGCTGGGAAAAGGACGGGAAACGCCTGTCGGACGACTTGGCGGTTTTTGAGACTCTGGAGGAAGCAGCAGAATTTTTGCTCGACTCGGCTTGTGAATTGGAGTTGGGTGGGGGGAAAGGTGCTTTGCAGTGGTTCGAAGTAAGGCTGGAGACTAATTGGTCTGCTGAATGAACACTTGTTTGACTCGACCTTCTTGAGCGCAAGTTTGCAAGGCATTCGAATGTGCCTGTTTTTCCAATATTATGTGCATTATGCCAAGCTTGTGTTCCTTCATCACTATGCCATAGGGCCTAACACTCCTAACTGAAGTCGCTATGAATTTGAGAGTATTGCAGTAGATTCGGTTTGTACCGAGGATAGCTTTCTCCTTTTGATCCTAACGATCTCATTTTCAGCACGATTTTTCGAGCACTAGGATACGATAGAAGCAGCTTTATTCGTTCAGGTATCAGCATATCTCGCGGGGTCGCCTGATGGCCCTTCGCGATAAGAAAAGAGGTGGTGACAGGGACGCGGTTGCGTCGCTGCTGAGCCGTCTCTCATGCGACGCTCGCGAGTTCTCCTTCGGTGCGACGGGCGACAGCGACAGCGATGACGACTCTGGCGACGTTATCGCCTCCAGCCGCGAGAGTCGCGCGACCGCCGTTCCCAGAATCGCTATTTCGCACGCAGCTGCGCGATCTTATGCTAAAACCGAAGCGAGTGTTAACGCGTACAGAGCAGGCTTCAATCCTTCTAGTGGTTCTAGCGATCCCCCCATAGTTCTCTCCCCCCTCGAATTCTACCGCGACTATGTAGCGGCTAACCGGCCGTGCGTGATTACCGGCGCCGTCAGCCATTGGCCGGCATTGTCCCTCTGGCAGACCGACCAGTACTTAATCGACGCGCTCGGGGAGAAAAGGATAACGGTGGATTTCACTCCTGACGGTCACGGCGACGCAATCGTTTGGCGGGACGGCATCGGACGGTCAGAAGCTGGATCAGGGGAACAAGCAGTTGAGAATTCGGGTTCAGGGTGTAACACGAGGGGAAAGGGGAGAGCGAGTAGCGGGTGTGACCGTAGGAGCAGTGACGATAGCGAGGTAGGGGATGATGAGATAAGAGAGAATCTGGGTGTAGGAAGGTGGGTGTTGTTTCCTGGGGAGGAAGGATGGGATAGTAGGGAGAGGCGCGAGGAAATGAATAGACGAGACGAAGAGGCACAGAGGGAGGAGGCGGAAGCAGAAGCGGAAACGGAAGCGATGGGGGAGGGGGTGGGGGAAGCGGGAAGGGAAGAGTACCAGCGGGAAAGGGAATGTGAAGCGGGGGAGTGCTTTGAGGGAAATAATTGCAGCTGTGGCGGCACGTGCAGTGGTGGTTGTGGCGGCAGCAGTTGTGACAGCATTCCGCGGGCTTGTCGCTGTGACTCGCCCTGTGCGTGGTTTGTCACCCCGCACGAAGCTTCCCTCACCCTCCCTACCTTCCTCCGCCTCCTCTGCTCCTCGCGCTCTTCCCCCTCACACTCCCCCTCACACTCATCTTCACACTCTCCCTCACTCGCCGCATCACACCCCTCACGCTCGCCCTTCATCGGCATTCCCTATGTTCAGCACCAGAACGGCAGCTTCAGGACAGAATTTGCCGCCCTAGCTGCAGATGCAGACGAACACGTCGGATTCGCCACAGCTGCGCTGGGCGGCAACCTGCCCGAAGCTGTAAATTTGTGGATTGGGGACGAACGGGCAGTGACAAGCTGGCACAAGGACCACTACGAAAACTTCTACGTGGTTGTCACGGGCAGGAAAACTTTCCGGCTGCTGCCCCCGCTCGACGTGTTCAGGATGCGAGTGCGGGAATACCCTGCTGCAAAATACTGGCGGGCAGAGGTAAACTGTGCAGTAGATTACTGGCCGCCCTCCTCTGATCCCTTCGCTGTTCTGCTTGGTGCCCTGCACCTCTGTGGAATCCGGACCATGCCCTCTCGTCTCACGCCCCTTGTTTCCCCATCGTCCCCATGCTTACTCGTGACGTGCCCCCCTGTTTTACCCCCGTTTTCCCTGTTCCCCCTGTCCCCCCTGTTCCCCCTGTCCCCCCTGTTCCCCCTGTCCCCTTGTTTCCCCTTTTCCCCCTGTTTCACCTCTTCACTCCGTTCCCCCTTGTGCTCCCTGTGCCCCTACCAGGAGCAGGGTCCGTTTCACATCCCCCCCTCCGACCCCCCACGCATGGTGCCATGGGCCTCTGTAGATGCCGTACTGAACCCTATCATGCCCGCGTGTTCCCCATTCTCCCCATGCACACTCATGACGTTTCTCCCTGTTCCCCCTATTCCCCCTGTCACCCCTGTGCCCCTACCAGGACGAGCAGGGTCCGTTTCACATCCTCCCCAGCGACCCACCATGCATGGTGCCATGGGCCTCTGTGGATGCCGCACTGAACCCCCTCATACCGTGCCCACACGCCCTGGGTGCTTCTGCGACCGCTGGCAGTGCGGACGGGGGTAGTTCCGAGGAGCTTAAGCGCCCCCCTCCCCTGGTCTGCACCATTGGTCCTGGAGAGATGCTGTTCCTGTATGTGATGACTGTGAGGAGAATGTGCGAGGGAGTTGAATTTGAGAGACTTGTGCGTGAGGAGAGGCTTGTATGTGAGGGGAGTGAGGGAGGAGAAAGCGACAGAGATGTGTCGTGAGAAGGGTGTTTAGGAATATGGGGAGATGTGCAGAAGATGGAGATCAAGAAGCACGATTGCAGGTGGCATGCGACATATTTTGTAACGAAGTGTTTCTTTTCCTCGCCATGGCAACTTGTCGTGGTCTTCATTGATGGACTATTTGGATGTGTGTATTGTTGTGGTTGCAGGCCAAGCATGTGGTATCACCATGTCTCGCAGAGTCCTGGGGAAACCGGCCGAACAATAGCTCTCAATTACTGTACGTCCTCCTGCATGTAATATCATGCGTGTGCCTCTTTTTTCTCTCATCTTGCAATCATATTTCACCCTGCAGTGCATCGTGTCTATGTTTTGCTAATGACATGTGGCTTTTGTTGCCTTTGATTGACAATTCCATGCAGGGTATGACATGCAATTCGATGTTAAGTACGCATATTTCAACCTCGTCCAATCGCTTACTCGTTTGTACAGATTATGACATATGGTTGTTCAGCTTGCAACTTTAACTAACCTTTATTTGGACTGTATGTACTATATTCTCCACCGTTTTTTAATAGCGTTTACTGTAACATTTTTTTTGGGCATGCAAAAGCGATTTTTGGATTGCCCACCACATAAGCCTTGCTTGTGCTTGTATCTGATTTGAGCGCAGAGATTCCGCCTCGTGTGTTTCGTAAGAACTGTAATCTGATTGGAGTTGAAACATGGGTACCGTAATTACATTTTGGGTAACCAACATCTAGCCCGCTGACGTCAAAAGTCACTACGTGGCTCGATGGTACCCGTCAGATCATGCGCGCCCCTTGGTGGTACCCATCTTCCCTCCGTTGTACCCGTCTTCCCTGCGTGGTACCCATCAACCGTGCGTGAATTCCCTGACTGGTACCGCAACATTTCAACCGAGCTGTACACCGTACAACACGGGTTTGAATGCGTTTTTCACTATATTATACCAACGTTTTTGGCCCGCAATTGAACATTAATACATTTGAACATTATTACCTTTGAACGTGCCTTACACTGGACAGAGTGCAGCCTAGAAAAAATCAACTCCCATTCTAAAATCTTCACGTTACCTCCGAACCTTTGTAAGCTCACACCACTGAGCGATAGGTAGCGTGAATCTTGCGACCATGTTTCTCAGCGCGCAGTTGGTAATATGAACAAAGTTGATAAGGTTGTATGCAAATAAATTGAGCATGTACCCCCACAGATAAATCTAAAATCATATACAAATATTACATACATTCGTTGGTTTCTGGAAACAAAACAATACCCATTAATGAAAATCAAATAACTTTAAGTCAATGTATATATTACATGTGAGTTGATTGTTTGTTATACGGATGTTAGTTTTTGTGTTTCGGTTGATGCAATATATCATTTTTGATTTAAATTATAGCACGTTATAATGTGGATGTTTATGAGCCTGAAAAAATCTACACAATAAATGTTTTCCTTTTTTAAGAATCCAGCTTTTCTTCTGCACTTTATTATAGGTAATGCGCTTGAAAATTTCACCCGATTATGTGGCACTTCGGGCTTTGGACTCTATGGAGCTTGTAAACGTTAAAACAATATAGTGAAAAACGCATTCAAACCCTTGTTGTACGGTGTACAGCTCGGTTAAAATGTTGCGGTACCAGTCAGGGAATTCGCACACAGTTGATGGGTACCACGCAGGGAAGATGGGTACCACGGAGGGAAGATGGGTACCACCAAGGGGCGCGCATGACATGACGGGTACCATCGAGCCGCGTAGGTGACCTTTGACGTCAGCGGGCTCAATGTTGGTTACCCAGAATGTAATTACCCTTGAAACATCGATTCCATCACCAAACTGGCGCATCCTGCTGTGCCACGTCAGACTACACCTACGGTGAAACAGAATCTGCTGGGGCTGCCAATATCTCGTTACAAGGGAGGAAAGGAAGATTTTCTTCCCTATCCAATAGAAACTGTTCATTGATGGCACAAGAAGGATTGGTCCAGGAGTTTTGGCAGAAAGGACAAGCAATATGAGCCAGCATTTTCTCCTGAAAGCTTTCTTGCAAGCTGTTTCCTTCAAGCATGAGGAATGCCTGCCCTGCCCACATCTCGTTCTCAGCGATTTTTTTTATTTTTTTTTTGGGTTTTCAGTTGATCACGCACGCTCACTGAAACTTTACGCCAAAAGCGTAGTCCTGTAGCTTCTGGCGCAGGGTTTCTGCCAGTTTCTCGCTCGTCGCGTAGTATTAGCTCCTTTCAACGTATTTCGATGGTCATTGGGCCACATGCTCGAAATTTAGAGGCCAATATGTTTTACTGTTAGTGAGAACAGAAAATATCCAGTCTTGTATTTTTACCTGCGCGGAAAAAAATAACTCATGAAAAAGAGCATCAGTCCTAGACACCCAATTTATGGTATTTTGGGTTGATGACTCCCTCGATGCTGCCATCGAAAAATAATACAGATCACGAACATTGAAACCGATTGTTTCTGGCAACAACTATAAGCACTTCCGCATTGTGTTTAGGGTTGATGCTTCTCTAAACAACATGCCATCCGAGAGGGGTTTATATTTTTGTCTGCCCAAAATACAGGTGTAGACGGTTCGCAGGCCGTCATTTTAAGTGGAGTTGATATTCTGGCCAATGATGAACGAACTGCGTTGAAAGGAGCTAATTTTGCGCTATGAGCGAAAAACTGGAAGAAACCATGCGCCAGAAGCTACAGTACTGCGCTTTTGGCGCATAGTTTCAGTAAGTGTGCGTGTTCAACTGAAAACCCATTTTTTTTCGCCAGGTTGTAATGACAATCCTCACCTGGTTGGTGGCCTGCCGAATGCCACAGGTTCGACAACCCCAGCAGGCATCCACAAGTCATCCCAGATGACATGCATGCAACAGATGAGGGTTCTACGTCAAACGATTCACAAAGCTCAATTGTACTGTACGTACGCACAGAATTTACGTATCATCCAGCAGGCTTTTACATGTCAAACAGCAGGAGACACGTCACTTGGAGAGCGGGCACGGAAATCTGGTCACCATTGACCCGTCCCACACTGAATCATGCCTGCGATTCCCGCTTCATCTCGGGTCGAACAGCTGCAACGCTCGCCGAACAGTGTCAAGCGGGAGAGAGCTGCCTCGCCAACAATTGCGAAATTTCGCCCTTCCGCATTCGCCGCGTCCGTTTGTTTCACGTCCCGTGCAGAGAACTCGGTAAATTGTCACGTGTGATGCGGCCCGAGATTCCTAGGCGAACGCCTGCCATACCTGAAACTGAAACCTCGACATCCGAACCGTGCCACAGTGCCCTGCACCACACCTTCGACGGTGAGCCGAGCCATGGGACAAGCTCCACCACCTGCAAGCATAGCCATGCAAAGTCACGAGAAGGCAAACGTCAGGCTTTCCCCACCTCTTTCCGTTCGGGAATTGGACGGATTCGGGACAGCTCGGGCAGGACCGATGACGAGGGTTTGATTGACAGAGGGTCTGCTCTCCGCAGCGCCGCACCGTTCTGCTCCTTTCCGCAGTCAGCAGCACCACATGCATCTCCGCTATCCCCGCACGGACCATCCCCTCCGCTTCCGTCGATACATCCCACCGTCTCCGCATCTTCTCGGCTTTTCCAGTCTCCCAAAAAGCCCACGCTTCCCCCGACATATGCTCCGCGCAGCTTCGTCTCCGCCCGCCTTTCCGCGTTGAAACCCCAACGGAGTTCCCAGCAGGTCAGGCCAGCAGCACCCTAGGATTCAGCTCAGCAGCACCGTCAGGCAGCTTGCTCCTACCCCACCCATCCTTGCCTCTTGCTTGTGAGCTGAGCAACCAGGCATAAAGCTGGAGCTTGCTGTCTTTCTAGACATCATCCAGAAAATCCGTTTCACCAAAACAGTATTAGTTAGGGAGTTCAGTAGGTTCAACACCGAAGTTTTGTGTTGGTTGTAAGTCGTAAGAAGGCGGTTCTCGTAAAGGTTTCTCCTCGTTTTCACCTTAAGATAGTTGACATGGCTCCATCGACTAAGTCTGCGATTTTCTGCTCTGACGAGGACATCATGGTTGATATGGTGATTGCTGCTAGCCAGAAGAAGGGGACAGTCGCTCTTCCGTCGTTCGGACGTGAACTTGTGCCATACTTCGTTCCGGGCTTCACTAACTTTACTGAGGATGCTGTTAACATCAATACGGACGTGGATGCTATTAGGAGGTGAGGATTGTCTCGTGTTTCACGGGTATCGATCCACTTTGTTTGATGGTCGCTAGAGCGGTCACTAAGAGTTTTCTTTCCTCTTTGGGTAACAGGAATGGAGCAAGTGTTCTTGAGATTCCCCAACCTGCCACGGTAGCTGGCGGCATGCGGAAAGGTCGTGGCAACACACGGAGATCCCCCAAGAAGAATAGATCGCGACATGGATCTCCTAACAACGATTCGCAAGCTCATCACACAAATAATGGTGCTTCGGCATCCGGCGTGGCGGTTAATTCCTCAACAACCAGCTACACCGCTCCCGCAGCCGCAGCACCCCTTCCCACCCGCGATGTAATTACTCCGCCACCTACCTCTGAAGCGTGGGCTGGTCCTGCATACGTGAACTCACCTCCTCCTAGCTCTCTTCCTCTTCCCAGCTTCCTTAAGGCTCAGCTTAAGCCGAGCCCTACGAATGTACGCGTCTCATCGTCGGAACCCTCTTCTCCTCTCAAGCAGTCAGCACCTGTTACGACTGATTTCGCTCAAGATTACGTTCCCGTGCCGTGTGCCACTGAGCACATGATGGCTTACCCGATGAATACGTTGGTGATTGAAGGCAACCTGAAGAGGCTTCTTCAGGTCGCTTAGAAGCAGTGTCCAAGATTGCATGGCGACGTGGTGAAAGGATGTGTGGATGAAGGATTCCTGACCTCCGTATTTAAATTGGAGTCAGGAACGGCAAGAGCATCTGCGGAAGTCTTTTCCTGCTAGCCTGGTCCTTTCCCTTCAGCTCTTGTGTCTCCATAATATCTACCCTTTACCCTTTCCTCTTGCACTCACTAGTAGCACTCCAGTTTGTCCGTCCGTTGAGCACTCTTGTTCGTGCTCGTGTTCGTCTTTCAGTGCGTGTCGTTCGCCGTCTCGCCTGCACATACACATCCCGCTCTTATCTCTTTTCAAGTCTGCCTTTCACATGTCCTTTCGCACTTGGGGTAACTAAGCCATGCAATGGTCGGAGCAGCCTACCCCTGATAAGGCTGAAGATGTATCTTCGAAGCTGGTTGGCAATGGATGGAGCAGCATAATCCTCGTTTGTTGGACGAAGTATCTTCGAAGTTGTTGGTTTCTTTTCGGATGCGCTACCTTTGGTCTGCTTGCGCCTGAAGACTTCAGTGCGCCCGCCTGTAACGCATTCGCTTGTTCTGCAAGCGTTGCGCACCTACGCTCTTTCGCACGTCAACGCTCTTCCTGCTCTGGGTACAGAGCAGCATCTTGGTCCGCTTGTATCGCAGACCGCGGCCAGGGAGTGAGCATGGATTTGTGGACCTCAGCATTAGGAGTTGTGCAGTTCTGATGAAGTTCGTTCATCCATGGTTACTGTTTGGCTAGATGTTATGAGCTGTATGGAGCTTTCATATTTGACGGTATTACGTGGTGATATGATGATCATGCTTCATGGCAGGGTTGGTTGTATTGATCTATCTTGTCCAGAATTGTATGCTCGCCTACACTAGTCGTTGGGCATCAGCATGCTACCTGAAGATGTAAGGTAACCACTTTGTTGTGGGATGTTACAGGTCTCTATGGCGCTCACACATTGTTGTTAAGCTATGGTAGTCTCTTTAGTACCACACAATTGCATGCACTACTGCATGCTGCTATCTGAACATCTACCTCCACATGGGTGGATCCTAAATTGATCTCTGGATGTTTGGGGAGGGGAGAAACCCAGTAAACTAAACATTTGATGTTGAAGCACAAAAGGCCGTGCTAGATGGACCGTACTGTAGTATTTACAGTCAACCACAGCATGGTTATCTAGACTGTCACCATGCTGCATTTACCATCGCTACTTGTCCACCCACAGGGTGTGAATTACAGTGCCCGCAATATCATGGAAGTTAAGCTTCAAGCCGTTGCCATCAATAATGACTGATACAAACCCCTGCTCTGCATAGTAGAACTGGGAGAAGGGGTTGGTTGTAGTCGACCGCTTGTGGCTCACCTGCGACCCTGCTCCACTCGTTACAAAGAACAGCGAACTGCATACAGCCAACGAGTTACACGGTAACAAGTCAGTTCGTGGAACATACATACTGTACCCAACACTGACAGCCACAGTAAGGAGCATGGTTGCACCTGAAACACGTGTCTACATGTTGTTGAAAGGTTCTTGCCAAAACAGTGACTCACATGGCAGGCTAGACCTTCAAATATTATCTCACCTTGCAGGTTCCTGGAAAAGTTCCAGGTTATGATCATGGCCATTCATGTAAAAATCTACTTGATGCTCCTGGATCAAAGGGTGGGAAGGAGGGAGGGTAGCGGTGGGGTAACAAGGAAAGCATTGTTGCCCCCTATACTTGGCATCTGGAGCTGCAACCTGCTTTAGGGGCCCTATACTTCACATCCCCATCCTCCTCTGTTTTCGGCATGTGTTCACATGCTTCACAAATAGAACAGGAATGATGCTCGACAGAACATGACGATAGGGTTTTGAAGCACTGTATGAGTCCTCATTCTCCCCTGTTTCTCACCTTAAGCAGGGGATTGAATACTGCGCAAGCTCAGCCGAGTTGGACATCTCCCCAACGTACCACACATCTCTAGATGCCTCACTATGGTCTGATACTACTACTCAGGGATGGGGCTCCACAGATTCACTCACCTTGAGGATGGAGCTCCACACACTCACTCACCTCGAGGATGGATTGAGGTATTGCACAAGCTCAGCCAAGCCCCCATTCTCCCCTGTTGCTCTGTGCGTGTCGATTTCTTTCGTCTGGAATGCTTTGACGAATGTTAGTAGCAGTTCAGGAGTGGTGCTTCACGTCGCTCACCTTGAGAATGGGGTTGAGGTATTGTACGAGCTCAGCTGAATCCCCATTCTCCCCAGTGCTGCGCACGGGGTGGTGGCCAATCACAATCTTCCACTTGGCAGTTGACGACGCAAGGGCTGCTCTCAGTGTCTGGGAGGTGACAGCAGAGAGGGGGGGAAAGCGGAACGATTGGAGACAGAGAGGGGTGGAAAGGGAGAGTCAGCCAACGGTGGCCAATCACAATCTTCCATTTGGCGGTTGACGACGCAAGGGCCACTCGCAGCGACTGGGAGGTGAGTGCAGAGAGGGCGGGGAAGGGAGAGATAGGAGGCAGAGTGCGAGGAGGGCGAGGGAGAGGTATAGAACGAAGTGGAGGGGGGAAGATTGCAGAGGGAAGGGAGGAAGATGAGGAGAGGAATACGTGCAGGAGTGGGAACAGCGAGTAGAGATGGAGAGAGGGGATGGGATGGATTCAAAGGTTCCTAAACAGCAGGAGGGGAGGACTGAAGGTGGAGTGGAACCAGCCAGGTGAGTTAATACCAACCAGCTTATCAGATTAAACGCCCAGCCAGCCAGATCAGTAAAAAACCAACCTCGATTTGGAAGTGGATTGAGAGCGAATACTCCGGTCTGCCCGTGAAATTCAGCCTCTCAGTTTGGTGGGCCGAGGGTTTCCAGTAGCCAATCAGCATGGGTGACGTGTCAATGAAAAACAGCTCCACTGGAGCGTCACAGGGTTCTGGTAGTTGGCAGGGAGAAAGGGAGGTCAACGGGGAAAGGACACAGGTTGGGCATAACATGAGACAATAGAAGGGCGGAGAAAAAAAAAAAAAAAAAAAAAAAAAAAAAAAAAAAAAAAAAAGAGGAAGAAGAAGAAAAAAAAACCCACAATTCATGTATGAAATCTCACCACACAGCTTCTCACCATATAAATACTTGGGGCACGCGTCTCTCCTCACGTTGTACGAGCGCTCGCAGCGCCAGCGGGGGTCACGCAGGCAGAGGGCTGGATCAAGCTGTGCCTCGGGATTGCCATGATAGTCGTGGTTGCCCAGAACTGGCATAAAGCAGGCGGGACAAGAGGAGGGGTTACATAGGCAAGAGGTCAACTGAGGGTGGCGCAGGCAGAGGGCTGGATCACCTGAGGGATTGCCGTGATAATTGTGGTTGCCGAGAACTGGATTGGATGGGACACAGTGAGGCAGAGCACATCGCGGGCATGGGGCACAAGTGGGGTTGACCAAAAAGGAAAATCCGGATCAAACTGCCCGTGGAATCATGTGATGGTTGTGGTTGTGCTGAATTGGCATGCACCAACGCGAGGAGCTGAACTTCATCAACGCGAGGCCTCCTCATCAACTCTCATCACCAACAAGAGGCCCAGTATTAACTTCTCCTCACGAAGTACTTGGACGGTGAGAGTCTGAACATCACTGACTCCCGTTGTAGTCACACATACATACCAGCACTTGATTAAGGAAGGGAAGAGGTGGCAGGATGGGAGGGAAGGGGGAGAGGGAGGGGGAGGGGGATGTGGGGAACTTACGCATAATCACACTCCCGTTATAGCCACAATATCACAAAACGAAATACCACTGGGTGCCCAGGCTGGAAGCTTGGAAACTCTCAGTGAAAGAATAAGTGTCTGCGGTTCAACTACTTGCCATTAGTCTGTGGTCAACCACTTGCCACAAACATTTGATACAGTTGCACATCAGCTACACTCACATTCAAGATAGTCACAAGTGACATACCGGCATACCACTGCCTGCGGGGGCTGGGGGCCTGGTAGATCTCCAAAAAGGACGAGGTGAACCACGGAACACTTGCAATGATAATCTGTATTTTTCCCACGTTCGTCATAGTCACAAGTCACATACCAGCATACCACTGCGTGCGAAGGCTGGGGGCCTGGTAAATCTCAGAGAAGGAGGAGGTGAACTGCGGGTCACTGCTGTCTGTCAGCCCATCCTCGTAAAAGTTGTCCCCCGTTGAAATGACGAAACTGGAATCTATCTTTGCTGCCACTCGCCCCATCTGAGAGACAAACAAAGGGTAAGAGGTGGGTGGGGAAAGGTGGGGGTGGGGGAAGGTGGGGGTGGCGGATGCGGGGATTTGGAAGGTCGCTGCTGTCTGTGAGCCCGTCCTCATAAAAGTTGTCCCCCGCTGAAATGACAAAGCTGGAGCTGACTTCCCCTGCCATTCGCCCCATCTGAAAGACCGCGAGAGAAGGCAAAGAGGGAGGAGGAGGAGGAGGAGGAGGACGGAAGAGAAGTGGGGAGCATGAGAAGGGGGGTTCAGGGGAGGAAGGGGGTGTGGAAGGGAGGCATAGGGGAATGGCATTCCAAGTCTGCCTGCCTATCTCTGCTGCTGTCGGCCAGTCCATCTATCACCCAGAATCGCAGTGACTCGCCGCTTCAGCTACGAGCGATTGGTTGTAGTCTCCATTGCGACCCCAGTCCCCCACCACTAGAATTCAGTAACCAGCATGGTAACCAGTCCATCTATCATCCAGAATCGCAGTGACTCACCGCTTCCGCTACGAGCGATTGGTTGTAGTCGCCATTGCGACCCCAGTCGCCCACAACTAGGAACGTCAGCGCTCCTTGCGACTTGACTAGCGTGTCCGTGCTCGCATACGAGGTGATTAAAGACACCGCGCGCCACGGGAATAGTAGCGAGATGCCGGCTGCGATTGCCGCGCCGGCGAGAAGGCCGAGCGAGAGGAGGAGGAGCGAGGGGCAGCAGCGCAGGCAGCCGGAGCGCTGCTCCACAACCTGGGGTATCAAGGGCGATTCGTATGGGAAAAGGGTAACGTTTGAGTAGACTCAACAGACGGAGCGCCGCTGCTCCACAACCTGGGGTATCACGGGCGATTCGTATGGGAAAAGGGTAACGTTTGAGGAGACTCAACAGACGAAGCGCTGCTCCACAACCTGGGGTATCAAGGGCGATTCGTATGGGAAAAGGGTAACGTTTGAGTAGACTCAACAGACGGAGCGCTGCTCCACAACCTGGGGTATCAAGGGCGATTCGTATGGGAAAAGGGTAACGTTCGAGTAGACTCAACAGACGGAGCGCTGCTCCACAACCTGGGGTATCAAGGGCGATTCGTGTGGGAAAAGGGTAACGTTTGAGTAGACTCAACAGACGGAGCGCTGCTCCACAACCTGGGGTATCAAGGGCGATTCGTATGGGAAAAGGGTAACGTTTGAGTAGACTCAACAGACGAAGCGCTGCTCCACAACCTGGGGTATCAAGGGCGATTCGTATGGGAAAAGGGTAACGTTTGAGTAGACTCAACAGACGGAGCGCTGCTCCACAACCTGGAATGTCACGGGCAATTCGCGGTAAAAAGCAGGAGTTAAGACATCGGTATCCAAGCGTATGCGAGAGAAGTTAAGACTTTAAGCAGTTGGATGACTGAAAAGACAGTGAAAAGACAGCGGAGCACGCAGCTGATTTGAGACACTTTTGGGTTGCAGGCTCTACCTTTCCTGTTGTAAGAGAGATTTCTTCTTCCACACCCCTTTCCTGCTCCTCCTCTTCCCGTTTCCACTCTTCATCTTCCTCCTCTTCCTCCTCCCCATGAAACTGCCTTTTATGCTTCCTCGCCGTTCGCGCCATCCAGGCATCGTCCTCTTCGTCCCACGAACCATTTTGTTGCAATACTTCTCTTTCTCCTCCTCTTGCACCTCCTCCCCGGTATGACGCGTCCATCATTTGATCGTAAGCCGGGGTACTACAGTGTGGGAACCAATCAGACGGGATGTGCTTGGAAAGATTCGATGTTATGTTGATCTCGTGCTGGAGTACTAAGGACCTGTGACATAGGGTTCGCAGTTGCACTCCTTTTGAACGGAGATTAGGAGATTAGGAAAGTACTCGAACTATCGTGCTATTGCGTCAACGGACGAGTTCAAATCACGTGCGCTTGTCTGGTGTATTCAAGAAAGCTTCAGCTACAAGAGAGATAAACGTGTTCCACCATCAGACCAATCGCATCAGCTCAACTCGACTTGCCGAATCATGTCACCAGCTAGCGAAAATTATAGTTTCGGACACAATAAAAAGCAATTCACGGAGAACCTTCAAGTAAAAGGTAATCAAGAACCAGCCGCGATCGCAAATGAACAGAGGAGTGAAGCAGAAGGCGTTTTTTTTCTAATAATTGAATGTATACACCGACGGAACAAGCATATACAGACAAAGACGGTCGTAACCGTGCGTGAGGAGTTAGAGGTGGTGCCCCTGCCTCCAGATGAAACCACTTAAGTTCTGGTGGGCCTTGCCCTCCTCGCCGACCATAAGGCTGCAAAAGTGTTTGTCCATTTCAAACTGTTGCCATCCAGTTTGATCTTCTTCAACATGGTCCACTCCTCCGATGAATCACGTCGCCATTGTTTACGCCACGTAGGACCGAATTTGTAAGTGTACAGCTTCACGTGATGCCGGAAAGCCAGCTCTATCCTCCGCAGGACACGTTGCGTTCGGAATTTCTGCTTACGAAATACAGCATCGCACCGCTCGACCCACAATTGGTGCATTGTAATCGAAGTTAACGTCATCTCCGGGAACGCTGAGCTGGTTCCTGTATCCCGAAACAGAAGGTCACCGAGCGAGTCCATCGTGCGGGCAGGGTTGAGCATGCGCAGAGCGCACCGGAGGGCGTTGGAAACCACCTGAATCCTCGAGCAGAGTAACAGGCAGTGTTCCAACGTCTCCGAGTCACCACAATACGGGCAGACAGGCTTGCTGCTCAGAAAAGCCAGGCGCTCCCCAACTTGCAGATTCAAGCCATGGATCCGCAGAGAGTCCCGGGTGCGCACAACCGCTTTCCAGTTGATGCTGCCCCCCCATCTTGCCGCCCATTTCGCGCTTTTTGGGCCCCATTCCATCCTTCCTTCAACTTCCTCATGGGGGCAACCTGCCCCCCATCCAGAATCAGCAGCTGCGGAGGGGAGTCAACCGTGCGACGGAGCACAGTTGGAAACCCCAGTTGCTTGTACCATAACGCAGGCAGGCAACCCAGAGCCTTCAGCGCCAACTTCGCAGCACCACTGCTCCCTACCTCCGCTGCAAGTTCCACCATGGATTTCTGCACGAGATCCCCTGACACCTCCCTTGTGAACAGCTCCCCAAGCCTGAGATCAAACAGCTCCTTTGCAGCCTTCTGGCCGCCAATCGGCGTGGTGCCCCGTAGCAGAATGTTTTTATTGAACACCACTCGTTCGAGCAGGATTTCCTCCCTCGTACCGGCCGCCACCCTCGTACACAGCGGCGAGCGGGAGAGGCATTCACAGGTCTGCTTCGACCGTGCACTCCGCCCTTTCCAGAGTTTGAACAGCTTCTCGTGGGCCTCGAATGAATCCGCTCTGAGAGGAAGTTCTGCCGCTAACTCCATCAGCTCCTTCTTCAGCACGTCCCCTTCCGTAAGGAATAGACCGACTCTCCGCGCCGCAAGGCAGGTGATGATGATCTCGGGGTCCAGAACTCCGATCCCACCCAACTCCCTTGTTGTGTATAGCAGCTCTTTGCTCCACTGTCTGAAACCCTTCGCCGCTGACGCTCTATTACCCGATGTGAAGCTGTGCAGGAGCCGGACAAGATCCTCCCAGACCTCAACCGACGGCGGGTATACTTGTACTTGGAACGCAATGATCGGAATGATATAGTGGTTTACCACTGTCGCACGCGTCGTGGTCGTCAAGTACTTCTGCTGCCACTTAATCAGCTTCTCAGCGATCCGCTCTAATGCCTTCTCCCACGTTTTCACCCCACTTCCAGATGGCGACACCCATACCCCCAGCAGGCGTTCTACGTCGTCAGCGCTTGCCCATTTGAACTCTGCTGACCCGTCCGCGACCGCGCCTAGATTGGCACCCAAAGGCAGCACGACTGATTTTCCTTTGTTTGTCGCGAGTCCGGACGCCTTCTCAAACTTATCCAGAATCACCTATGCCTTAGCTATCCGCTCCCCCCCGTGCAGGATAAGCGTGGTATCATCGGCGTAACCGAGGTAATTCAGCCGCTGCTCGTCCTTGCTGAGCCCCAACTGCTCCCTTTCCACCGCCTGAGCCAAGGGTTCCACCGCACAGAGGAAAAGGTAAGGCGCCAGAGGGCTCCCTTGCCTGACCCCCGAGACCACTTCCAGTCCCTCACCAAGCCAGCTATTGACCAAGAGTTTTGTTGTTGTATTTGCGTGCAGACCTTCTATCGAGCCAACGAAGCGGTCCGGGAAGCCCATTTTCCGGAGCACCTCAAACAAGAAGTCACGCGACACCGAGTCAAAAGCTTTTTTGAAGTATACCAACAACAGGTACCAATCCTTATTGCCATTTTTTGCCGCATCAATGACGTCAGCTACCAACGCCACCGCATCAGAAAGACGTCTCCCCAGGATAAAGCCATACTGCTCCGGCGAGATGACCTGATGCAGCACAGACTTCATCCGATCCGCCATGACCTTCGCCAACACCTTGTAAGTGAAGTTCAAGAGATTAATTGGCCTGTAGTTATCCAGATGATCCAGTCCCCCTTCTTTTGCAACAGGATCGTTACTGCTTCCTTGAGCTCCATCGGAAGGAAAGCAGTTTGCTCGAAGCTTTTCGCCATCACCATGAAGCTCTCACCCAACAGATCCCAGTGGGCCTCGAAGAGCTCCTTCGGGGGCCCATCCCCACCAGGTGATTTGTTCTTGGCCATTGCTGCGAAAGCTGCTTTCACCTCCTGCTCTGGCCATTCCGCCGTTAACGCCTCTGCTGCTCCTTCACTCAGACACCACGTTGGACTGAAATCCCAAGAAGTGAAATCCGTGCGACGATCGCCGCCGAAGATCTTCCGAAAATACTCTGAAGCGGCCCCCAGAATCTGCTTTACGCCCGTGACGGACGAACCTCCCTCCTTCAGCTCCGTTATTTGTGTGCGGCCTTTTCTTTCTCGAACCCTAGCAGACAGGTGCTTTGATGCCACTTCCCCCATCATCTCCTCCGACAACCCCGCCTGCAGGTGCAACCTCTCCTTCCGCGCCGTCTGGTACGCTTTCAAATGCGACTCTCTTGCCTCCAGCAGTGTACGCTTGACCGAGCACTTCGAATCCCCCATCCACTCCTGCTTCAGTCTTGCCACATCATTAGCCAGATGTAACAACGTTGCCTTTACTCTCTTACTCTCTTCTCTTGCATAGGAACGAAGACCGGCACCCAAGCGAGCGATGAGGAGTTCAAAGCTGCTACTCTCCTTGAACGGTGTCCGTCGAACTGTCGCGTCAATGATTTTCCGCACACCAGGTCTATGCACCATCGACGCATGCAGTCTCTAGATGCCAAGCGCGGAGCAAACCTTTGCATCAAGACGAAAGGCCACCTTAATCGCGTATCCATGATCCGAAATCAGGTTATCAGGCTTGTCATAAGAAGCGATCACCAGGTGAGTTAGTAAAGATTGTGAAGCTAAAGCGCTATCAATGCGAGTGCTGCAGCGGTGCGAATGGGCATAAAAGGTGTATTCTCTCTTGCGCGGATGCAGGATGCGGAAGGCGTCAGACAGCTGAAAGCTGGAGCACCGGAGCAACAGCTTGTCGTTCTCGGACGATGAACTGGAGCCAGAAGACCTGTCCAGCTTCGGATCATCCGTCAGGTTGAGATCACCAATCAAGAGAAGGTGAGAGGAAGGGTTAATGTGGTCAATGGCTGGGCCAAGAACTTCACGGATAAAGGCAGCTCTTGGGGAAGGGTGCGCGGGGAGGTATAGGGCGATGAGGGTGAGATCTTTGTCAAACATTATATAGGTTGTGTTTGTTTAGGCTACAGTGTGTTAGCCTACAGGGGGTACACAATTCTAGGGTTAGGTACTTGTACTGATTTCACTGTTAGTTCAATCCATTCCTGTTCGTTCATTCTAACATGGTATCAGAGCAGGTCCTTCGCTAGGACCGTCTTTTTTTTTTAGGGCCCACCACTATCTACCTACCTACATGCGCCCTAGGGCGCCTCGTTTTTCACGGCCAGGCCCCGCGACCCGCGACCCGCCCCTTAGCGACTGCGCGCCGCCCCTTAAGGCCCCGTCGGCCCACGCGCTCGCCCCTTACGGCCCCGCGCTCGCCCCTTAGCAACCCCGTCGGCCCCGCGATCGCCCCTAACGGCCCCGTCGGCCCCGCGCTCACCTCCCTAGAGGCCCCCGTCGGCCCCGCACTCGCCCCTAGAGGCCCCTTACGGCCCCGCGCTTGCCCCTAGAGGCCCCGAACGGCCCCGCGCTTGCCCCTAGAGGCCCTTTACGGCCCCGCGCTCGCCCCTAGAGGCCCCGAACGGCCCCACGCTCGCCCCTAGAGGCCCCGAACGGCCCCACGCTCGCCCCTAGCGGCCCCTTACGGCCCCGCGCTCGCCCCTACAGGCCCCGACCGGCCCCGCGCTCGCCCTTAGCGGCCCCTTACGGCCCCGCGCTCGCCCCTAGAGGCCCCGAACGACCCCTCGATCGCCCCTAGAGGCCCCGAACGGCCCGTGACCGCCACAGCCCCTCCAGGACCGAGCCGAGCCGCGCGACCCGAACCGAGCCGCCCAGTCCGAGCCGAGCCGCGCGACCTCAACCGAACCGTGCCGCGCGTACTGACCGAGCCGCCCTACCTGTCTCATCCTCCTACTCCTACTGGTGCTCCTCCCTGTCTTCCCTGTGTCGAGGGGCGGCAGCGCGCCGCTCCTCACTCCTCGTTTCCCCCGACGACTGCTCCCTTGCAGACGCTCCACATGGACGTGTGGGGCCCAGCCCGCGTCTGTGGTCAGGGTCAGGAGAGGTACTTCCTGATAGTTGTTGACGACTACTCGCGCTACACCATGGTCTTCCCCTTGCACACCAAGGGTGAGGTCCCTGATGTCTTGATCTCTTGGATCCGCAGAGCCCGTCTCCAGCTCAGCGAGCATTTCCACTCGGACTTACCTGTCCTGCGCTTGCACTCTGACAGAGGTGGTGAGTTCTCCTCGGACCTCTTGGCAGCCTACTGTGCTGAGCACGGCATTGAGCAGTCGTTCACGCTTCCGACCTTTCCACAGCAGAATGGGATTGCGGAGCGCCGCATTGGCCTGGTCATGGAGGTCACCCGTACCTCCTTGATCCATGCGGCTGCCCCCCACTTTCTGTGGCCGTTTGCAGTCCGGTACGTTGCGCATCAGCTCAACCTCTGGCCCCGTGTCTCCTTGCCGGAGACCTCGCCCACACTGGTGTGGACGAGGGAGGTTGGCGATACGTCACGTTTCCGGGTCTGGGGATCTCGAGCTTTTGTCCACGATACGTCTGCGGACAAGCTCTCCTCCCGTGCTGTTCCCTGCGTCTTCCATGGCTTTGTCCCGGACGCGCCTGGTTGACAGTTTTACCATGCCACCTCGCCCCGAGTCTTGCCCTCTCAGGACGTCACTTTTGACGATTCCGTCCCCTACTACCGCCTCTTCCCCTACCGCACTGCCCCGCTCCCCGCCCCGCCTCTCTTCCTCGCGCCAGGTGCTGCTGTCGTAGACCCCCTCCCCCCTCAGGGTGCCGCTCCCTCAGGTATGTCTCAGGTAGACCCGGTTGAGCCTGTTGAGGTAGCTGTCGACTCTCGTCCTGCTGCGGGTGCGGAGCCTGGGGGTGCGGATCTTGGGGGTGCTAAGCCTAGGGGTGCGGAGCCTGGGGATGCGGAGCCTGGGGGTGCTGAGCCTGGGGGTGCGGAGCCTGGGGGTGCGGAGCCTGGGGGTGCGGAGCCTGGGGGTGCTGAGCTTGGGGGTACTGAGCCTGGGGGTGCTGAGCATGGGGGTGCTGAGCCGCAGAGTCCGGAGTCTGGGGGTTCTGAGTCTAAAGGTGCTGAGCTTGGGAGTCCTACACCTGGAGGAGCCCTCTCCTCGGAGCAACTGCGTGAGTGGTACTTACAGTACTACAACCTCAGGAGAGGTACCCCTGGAGCCAGGCGTACTACTGGGACTGGTGCTAGTGCTTCTCCTCCTAGTCGGGAGCTCCCCTCCCGTGAGCGGATCCGTGAGTGGTACAAGCGGCGCTGCACTCTTCGGAGTGGCGCGTCTGGTGTCGTGGACCCCGCTGCTGCTGCTGGTGCTGCTGGTGCTGGAGGCTCTACTGGTGCTGCTCGTGCTGCGGCCCTAGAGGTTGGAGCTGCTTCTGGTGCTACGGACCCGGGCGTTGGAGCTACGGCTAGTGCTGAGGACCCGAGCGCTGGTGCTGCTGCTGGTGCTGAGGACCCGGGCGTTGAAGCTGCTGCTGCTGCTGAGGACCCGGGCGTTGGAGCTGCTGCTAGTGCTGTGGACTCGGGCGTTGGAGCTGCTGCTGGTGCTGCGGACCCGGGAGTTGGAGCTGCTGCTGGTGCTGAGCACCTTGGCGCTGGTGTCTTTGCTGGTTCTGGAGTCGGTGCACGGCCGCGGCCGTACTTCGTTCCGCTCATTCAGCAGGTTCATGGTCAGCTCCCTCCTCCTTATCCTCCTCCTTCCTCAGGGTGTCCTCCGTCTGTCCAGCTGCAGTCGCAGCTACCGTCTGCCTCCTCTCTCCCTGGTACTGCTCCTTACACTGGTCCGACTGGAGGTGTTACTGAGCGTCGTGAGCCTGAGTCTCGTCCTGCATCGCCTGAGTCTCATCGTGCGTCGCCTGTCCGTGCTGCTCTCACTGGTAGTCGTGTCCCGCGTCAGCGTCTTCCTGCTGTCCCAGGCACTCACCGGATGGCGCTTCGTCCTTCCACTGCTCCACAGCGTGTCCCACTGCCGTCTCCTCCTGCGTCCTCTCTTCCTGCTCTTGCTGACCCGGGGTCAGACTCCCTTCGTGCTGCTAGTCCTACTGTCACGCGTCTCCTGGCTACTGTTGTCACCAACCCTTCCTTTGAGTCCGCTGCTGCGTCTGCCTTAGTTGCTGAGCTTGTCGACTTTGCTGCCACCTGTCGTCTAGACTACACCGCTAGCCTAGTTGCTGAGTCTGAGTCTGTCTGTCCTCCGTCCGTCGGGGGTGAGTGTGCTCTTGGCACTAACGTCCTTGAGGACAAGCAGGAGGAGTTTGAGTGCTTTGCTGCCGCTTTGCCCCATCTCGTGTCCATGCTTGTTGCCCCTGAGGGAGACCCGGATGCACCAGACATCCCGACCTCACGCTCTTACGCAGAGGCGATGGCCGATCCCTACTCCTATCAGTGGCAGAAAGCCATGGACACAGAGATGGCTTCTTGGAAGTCCACAGGCACCTATGTCGACGAGGTTCCCCCGCCAGGGGCGAACATCGTCAGTGGCATGTGGATTTTCAGGGTGAAGCGGCCGCCGGGCTCTCCGCCTGTCTTCAAGGCACGTTACGTTGCACGAGGCATCAGTCAGCGAGAGGGAGTTGACTTCTTCCATACCTTCTCCCCAACCCCGAAGATGACCACTCTTCGGGTTCTGCTACACGACGCCGCTCAGCGTGACTACGAGCTCCACTCTCTTGACTTCAGCACTGCTTTCCTACAGAGCAGCCTGCACGAGGAGATCTGGTTGCGCCGCCCACCTGGCTTCACTGGGTCGTTCCCTCCTGGTACCCAGTGGAGCCTCCGACGGCCAGTCTACGGTCTCCGCGAGGCGCCACGTGAGTGGCACGACACACTGAGGACTACACTTGCGGCTCTTGGGTTTGCGCCTTCTACTGCTGACCCGTCGCTGTTTCTACGCACCGACACCTCACTGCCGCCGTTCTACATCCTCGTGTACGTCGACGACTTGGTCTTTGCCACTGCTGACACTGCCGCACTCGCCCACGTGAAGTCGGAGCTGCAGAAGAGACACACGTGCACAGACCTGGGTGAACTGACAAGCTATCTTGGCTTGCGGATCACCCGGGATAGACCACGCCGCACCATCACCTTGACTCAGTCACACATGGTGCAGCAGGTCCTTCCGCGCTTCCGCTTCACGTACTCCTTGCCTCAACCCACTCCTCTGCCTACCGGTCACTCGCTCTCAGCTCTGCCTTCGGATGAGTCCGTAGAGCCGAGTGGCCCGTATCCAGAGCTTGTGGGCTGCCTCATGTACGTGATGACCTGCACTCGACCTGACCTTGCATACCTTCTTAGCATTCTTGCACGCTATGTCGCTCCCGGCCGTCACCGGAAGGAGCACATG